TGTAAATATGAAACCGGAATTTTTGTATAGAAAATACACGTTTATTGTATGAAAATGATAAAAAATATTTTATTCGAAGTATTGCCCATCGCTAGCTATACATTTTTCCCACCTGTCTGACAATTTGTGGATGCCACGCCAAAAAAACTGTTGCTCTTTTGAGGCAAACTAGTCATCCATTTTCTTAGGCAAGCCATTTTCGTACATTTTCGTAAGAAGTGAAGCGCTGCTTAGCAAGTGCGTGTCCCATCGATGCAAATAAATAGTAATCGGACGGAGCGAAGTCTGGTGAGTAAGCCGCATGCGAAAGTATTTCCCAACTAAACTCAATCGATTTCTTGACCAGTTTTGCTGTGTGATGGTGCATTATCATGAAGCAAAATCACTTTGTGTTGCCTTTTTTTATATTCTGGTCGCTTTTCACGCAAAGCTTGATTCAAATCGATCATTTGTTGTCAGTAGCGTTCAGTATTAACAGTTTGGCCAGGTTTTAGCAGCTCATAATAGATCACACCCTTCTGATCCCACCAAACACAGAGCATTGTCTTCCGTCCATAGCGATTTGGCCTTGCAGTCGATGTCGATGGTTCGTCTGGAGTTATCCATGATCTTTTACGCTTAGGATTCTCAAAATATATCCACTTTTTATCGCCAGTCACAATTCGATGGAGAAATAACTTTCTTTTGTACCTGGCGAGCAGCATTTCGCAAGTGGTTTTTCGGTTTTCCTGCTGTCCAGTATTTAAATTTTTTTCTTGCTCTGCTGACATATCGTGTTTCATTTTTGCACTATTTTTGCCATCATATCATGACGCAGATTTTGTTAGATTTCTGTTACATTTGTACACGCACTATCTGACATAGCAGATCATATTTCGTTATTGTAAAAATTATATCAACATAGTATACAGCACATTTAGCAAAACCTGACTTTTGCAGACTTCGCTATCTGGGTTTATGTCTTATCTAACGGAATTATTCCGTTCAAAAACATTTCTGAATAACTTCATATTATTTGCGTTGCAAATCGTTTATAGCGCATTTATAGCAGCGGTGTATCAGCGGATGCCTAATGTCTCTGGATTCGTATTGCTGTTGCGAATGAACGGTAACAGTTACTGTATCATCTGGGAATTGACCGACGGATGATAATAATTTATGATAAATAAAATTATTGGGAAAGAGATGTATTTGCTTCTAGCGCTAATATCTATATTTGCATACAACGTGCATTATAATTCTTTCTCTCATACTTAATAACTTTTCTTATACTTTATAACATTGCATGTGCATTATATAAATATGTAAACTTTATTATTGCGCAGTATTGCATTTTTTATAATATTATAATATGGGGAAATTATAATAACTATTTGTATACCATTACAGAAAAGTATCACTTGTTAATAAATTGGTAGTGATTTTTAATGATTTTATTACAAGTTACTATAGTAACTAGTAACAGAATTATTAAAAATCACTGCCAATTTATTATTGACTAGTAATACTTTTCTGTAAGGGTATACACATAAACAAATGTATATATACGCATATATATACATGTATATATATATAAATAAATATTAAAGAAAAAGCTATATATTTGTATATATAAAGAATTACTATTTATGTTCTCCCTTTAAATAGTATGCACTATATGAATGCCACTTTCAATTTTAATTTACCTATATCTGCAACATTTTTTGTAATTTATTATCTGCTCACACGCAATTTACATTGCGAGCGTAAACTGTGGGATCGAATTTACATATAAAAATTACTTTCATTAAAACAGCTATGTGTTATACAGGATATTCCAAAACAGAATAACCTTCGAAGTTCCCGTGGAGGCATAATATGGACTGAGATGAACATAAAAGTCTTAAACCGTTTTGTGATGTTCGCAATAATTATCGAGGTATTAATTAAGAAATAGTTGTGAATGATAATAACGCGAGATATGATAGATGAGCTGTAATGACGTCTGTCATTGTGTGCTTGTACATTAGATTAAACTGAACAA